GGGGGGGATGCCTTATATTTCAGCAAGAGGCAAAACTGTAACTAGGTCTTATTTTCGGGGGATGTCTTACTTTCAGGGAAACGGTAGAAGGGGAAGAGTCGGTTCAGGAATAGTTCCTATGTTCCAGTGTACAAATGATCCTAGGAATCCTCGTGGTCAGAGTAAAAAGCTATTCGTCCTGTAAACTTGGAAACAGCACCTAATTTCTGCCCTCCATTAAGCCCCCCCCTCCATTCTAACAAGAAAACTCTTCCGTTTCTGCAGCAGCTTCATATCCTGCCTGCCAAGAGCTGGCAACCGGAAGCCTCTGTCCCTAGCCCTCCAGGCCTACAAGGCCAGTCTCAAGGTGAGGAAGCCGTCCGTCGTGAGCAGCCATTCACTTCTGTTAACTGAGTCTCAACGTCAGCCTGTTTTGAGCCCTGTTTCTTATCCATGAAATGGATACCACACCTAACCAAGCCTCAAGCGGGTAAAAACGGTTCTTTCTCTTTGTGTTATCGTTAGGCTCAGTCCAATGCCCTCCAGCCCTCTCCTCCTTGGGCCTGGTACAACGTGCAGAGGGTCTAGAATGGCGTCTCCAAAGCTTGGCGCCGCAAGGTGGTTCAGGAGTTTGGGCCTGCGTCCAATACCGTTATCCGCCGCCAGGAAGTTCAGCCCTACCCACAATGCCACGGGCCCTCTCGCCCCCGCTCTTTCTGCCCCCCACCCCCGGCCGACTCGAGACCTCGCGAGATCGCCCGTTGTCTGACAGGTTCGAGCGCCACGCCTCCCCGGCCTCAGATCGTCTTTCTCCGGCCCTGACCCCGCCTTCACCTGCGCTCCGCTCTTGGATTGGCTGATGGAGCCGGGTCCGGTTTTTCCGGGCTGGAAAGCGGGCTGACAAGTCTTCCCTTCGGCCCCGCCTCCGAAGCCTGGGGATTGGATGATTGACTCGGCTGTCACGCGCCCACGCGAGGGCAGGGCCCGGCCAATCCGGAGCTTGGAGTATTTTACAAACTGGGGAAGTAGCTGCAGCCGATCGCGAGGGTCCGGGAAAAAGCGAAGAAAGTGGGGGCGAACCCGAGGGCCTCCGGGGAAGGTGTGACGTGGGGTTCTTGGAGGGAATGAGGGCTGCGGGGACTCACCGAGAGGAAAAGTAGCTTGGGATCCTAGGGTGAAAGAGTGGACTGAGCTTCCCGGGAGGCTGCAGGCGCCGAGATCGGGGCGGCTGAGCTGGGTGGATGAGTTGGGCGGATGGGGGGATGGGGGGGCCGGCAGGACCCGTGATCTGATACTGCTGACTTTTGACCCACCCCTTTTAGTTTTAGCCATCATGACCACCGTCCAAGCCTCGACGGATCTTCCCCTGCGGGGTGTATCTCCCACTCCTAGCAAGATCCCTGTGCGGTCCCAGAGACGCACACCTCTCCTCAGGGGCAAGCCCTGCGCCCTAAATCAGGAGAACCAAGACCCAAAGGTAAGAGGGCTGAAGTTAGTAACAAGGACGCAGCACACACTGGCGATGCCACATCCCATCTTTTTTTGCCTCTCCACCTCCAGCAGAGAAGGATGCAGAAGCCCCCACTCAGTCTCCAACATCCCCTTGCTGGCCCAGCAGGACCCAAGCCTAAAGCCACCAGCCAAACGGAGAAATCAGAGAGATGGGTGAAGAGCGCTCAGCTTCGGAACCCCCTGGAGGAGCTCAAGCTAAGCCCTGAGGGACGAAATGTGGGGCCTGGGCCTCCTCCCCACAAAGGTATCTGTGGGAGGCCTGCCCTTAACTGGGTGAGGAAGTGGGAGCACACAGTGGGGCTTGGAGGCTGTGCACCCCTTCTGGTACTCTCCTTCGTTTGGGTCCAGGTCTCCGCTCTCTTTGTTCCATGAACAATGGATGAACTGAAGGCCAATTGAATGAGATTCTCTTGTTGGTTCCTTACTAACTGGGGTCCCTAGCCCCTTGCTTCCTGCTGCTTCTCACCTTTCTTTCTCTCTTGCAGAGGCTCCTGGGGCCATTGAGTTTGTGGCTGACCCTGCAGCCCTGGCCACCATCCTGTCAGGTGAGGGGGTGAAGAGCTGTTACCTAGGACGCCAGCCCAGTCTGGCTCAAAGAGTGCTGGTTCGAGGGAGCCAGCAAAGTGCCCTCCAGAGGGGTCAGGTAACAAGGCAGGCTATGAAGAGATGAAGCCTGGTGGGCTGAGGGGAGGACTGTGAGCTAGGGCTGACTGGCTCTGTTCCTGTCTCAGGGTGCTCGGGCCTCTGCGTATTTGGCCCCCAGAACTCCCAGCCACTGCATGGACCCTGCCAGGGCCTCCTGCTTCTCCAGGCTGGAGGGGCCAGGAACCCGTGGCAAGACCTTGTGCCCCAGGAAGCTGGAGACTCTGGTGAGTGCCCTTGAGGGTTTGACACTGTGCTTCTGAGAGCTCTGCCTAGCCCAGTGAGGAGGTACCTCGCTTGCTAGGAGGGAGGCAGGTGGGGCTGGTGGGAGGCCTGAAGGTTTGGGTCCCATCTGTGACTCTGCCCTCGTATTTCGTCCCTGTGGGTCAGGTTCCACCTTCAGGACCATCCTTTCACTCTTCCACTCGCCCTAGTTTCCTGGAGTTAAGGAGAGTAACAGGTGGCAGCAACCGGTGAGAAGTGGTGTGAGAAGGGGCGTTTGGGAAGGGTTTGCTGCAAAGGGTCCCAGAGTTGGGACCTTCCTGTAGCTTCAGGACTCTACCAGGAGGGGACGTGGGGAGTGTGTGACCACCTCTGATGAGTCCCTGGCATCAAGACCAGCATTTCACAGTCAAGCCTCCCTCCTTACAGCACCCTGCTCCTCAGGAGTCGGGGGAGCGGAGCAGGGATGAGAGGTGCCTTGGTAATGCCTGCCACTCTTACTAGTGGCTCAGGCCTGCCCTCCCTAGCCTCCCCGAGCTTTGGTGTCCATGTCAGTCACAGGAGGGCAGTGTCGGTGCCATTGGTAGAGGGGTGTGGACCCAATGCGGTGGTGTTTGAAAGCCCTGGGCCCCCCAGCTCATACTTGGCCCTCAGTGACAGCTCACAGCTGTGGTTATTGCCCTCAGGACATCAGTGCACCTGGCCCCAGCATTGCCCCTGGAGAGCCCAGCCCAGCCTGGTAAGTGTGACTGGCCTTGGTGGGGAGGGAGTGGGGACGGGGGTGGGCAGATGGGCTGCTGGCAATAGGGAGCTCAGCAGGACCAGGGAGGGCTGGGAATGGCTAGATCGGAAGGAGTGGAGGGAGGAGGGGCCGGAGGTTGGCACTCTGGTAGAGGCTAGCTGCACTGATCTCAAAGAAAGTTGTCCCCATTTCCACCCTCTCCTGGCCCCTCCCTGCCAGGTGTGCCTCCCACACATTGTTCCATCCTCAGCCCACCCAGTCAGGGTGTTGGGATGACTGCTTGTTTACTGAAAGTGCTGGCTTTTGAAAATAGACTGCTGGGATGGGGTCGCCGCCACTGATGTTCAATGGCGCTTCCAAACGGGCATGCCCTTGTCCGAGGCTGCAGAGCCCTGTGGACAGCGCCGCTGGGTGTTCCTCCAACTACAGCAAATTTCCTGTCTCCACCCAGCATCCTTTCTGCCCGAAGGAGAATATGAGACTGTCACTCAGTCAGATGAAGGCAGAGGAAGCTCCCTCGGTCTGGCCCAGCGGGTACCATTAAAAGGAACTAGGGTGAGCTGGCACCTTCCTGGGATAGGGGTATGGGGGAAATTCCCAGCAGCAGCCAGCACCGAGGATTGTGGGTGGTTGTTGTTAGGTACCGTCAAGCTAGTTAGACGCATAGTCACTCTGTGTCGAACAAAATGAAACCCTACCCAGTCCTGTGCCAGCCTCACAAGGGTTGTGTTAGAGCCCCTTGTTGTAGCCACTGTGGCAACCCTCCTTCTCGTTGACCTCTGACCTCAACAACCAAGCCTGTTGCCCTTCTCCAGGAACTGGTCCTGACTGACCACAGGTCAAAGTAAGTGAGATGAAGTCTCCCTCCAGCTTCACGTTTAAGGATCATTCTGTCTGGCTGTCCTTCTTTCAAGACAAATTTGATCTTGGCAGTTCCTCTGGACTGTGAGGAGGGCCAGGCAGTCCTGAGCCTTGGGGATGCTGTTCAGTCTGGATTTGTACCAAATGGGCTCAGCTCTCTCTAGAATAGTGCTGACCTCTCTCCCTGAGTGCCTGGGGCCTGGAATGAGAGGTTGTAGCTGCATAAGCATGTACCTCTCCATCAGATCAGTGCTGAAGATGTGACAGCTGATAATTAGCAGTCAAAAGCATTCCTCTGTTCACTCCACAAATATTTGGTGAACATATACTGTGTGCCAGGCACTTTCCTAGGCTCTGGACATATATCAGCAAGAAAGTTCATATTATAAAAGTGGTCGATAGACAAATTCATAGAACCAGTAGTAAGTCTTACACAGTAGGCTGATAACTGCAATGCTGGCAGTTCAAAACCACCAGCCGCTTGGTGGGAGAAAGCTGTGGCTCTCTACTCCCATCAAGAACGACAGTCTCAGAAACTCGCAGGGGCCCTTCTGCCCTGTCTTCTAGAGTCTCTGTGCGTCAGTATCGACTCCATGGTGGTTTGGGGTTTGTTTGTTTGCTTTTTGGCTCTAGTAAGTCAAATGACTCTGAGTGGCACACACAGTTTGCACCTGACTACTAACTTAAGGCTTGGTGGTTCAAACCCACCCAGCAGTGCCGCAGAAGAAAGACCCGGTGATCTGCTTCCAGAAGGATGACAGCCAAGAAAGCCCTGGGAGCAGTTCTGTCCGGTCTGCCACATAGGAGGTTGCCACGAATCGGAACTGACTCAATAGCAACAAGTTAGGGAGTGTGGTGTGATCTGTGAGATGGTGACAAGTTAATTGTTTAAAAAAAACAACAACAGGAAAGAAGGCGCTGGAGGGGGATTGGGAGTGGGGTGTCGGTGCTGGTGTTGCAATGAATGGATGGGTTGGGGGCCTGACCGAGAAGTTTAACTGAAGCCCAGAGGATTTGAGGGAAGGAGGCTGCAACCAGCTGGAGGAAGAAGCTTCCAGGCCAAGAGAGCTGCAGGTGCGAAGGTTGAAGAGGGAAGGTGCCTCGTGTTGGAGGGTCAGCAAAAAGGAGGCTGGTCAGAGTAAGGAGGCATAGGGCAGGAGGTGAGTTCACAGCAGCAACAGGACGGGGTCTGGTAGGGTGAGGACGTGAGGCTCTTACATGGAATGGCACGGAGAGCTGTGGGGCTGGGAGCACAGACAGGGGAAGGGCATGATTGCACTTGCCTCTTAGAAGGACCACCAGCCGGAGAACAAGACACAGGCAAGGAGGGAAGGGATGGCTCTGACCAACTCTCCTCTCCTCAGGGGAGCCATGATGCTCACCTACTGCCCTCCCCTGGCCAAGTGGCGCCACCTGCGGATGTCCGCCCTTCCCCCTTTGGACAGGCTCAGCGTGTACAGTCTCCCTACCCCTCAGCTCCGGTTTGTACTCACAACTCTTGGGGCCAGGACAAGGGTGGAGCCCCCTGGCTGAGGAGCCCCGCTGAGTCTAAACTCAGCCCCTGCTCCTCTCTCCCCAGACCTCCTATTCAGTGTTGCGGTGTCTCACCCTTCGCCCCAAAGCCCAGTTCACACCCATCCCGTCAGCCCCCAGAGTGCAGCAGGTAAGAGGGCTGGAGACTGGAGCCAAGGGCTGGGTGAGCACAGGGGCCAGAGGAGATTGGGGCCCCCCCAACCCCTGTCTCTGGGTGCCAGGTCTTGCTGACATCTCACTTCTGGCCCCCAGGGCCAGTGGGTGCATGGTCCCTCCCCTCAGACCTGCGCTGAACCGGAAGAGCCTGTCCTGCCTTGGGTAAGTGTCAGGAGCCCTCCGATGCTGGCATTTCCCACCCTTCAGTCACCTACCCTTCAGTCCTTGCTCCTGGAGACAGATAAGCTCCCAGGAAAAGCCACCTGGTCCCAACTCCCCTTGTTTCTCTGCTGCTTCTCTTCATCTACACCGAGGTCTCTGGCTGGTCATCATCCTGCCCCAGCCTGGCTCCCTCACGGGCCCCTTTCCCCCCCCCCGCCCCCCATCCGTCTGGCAGGAGCAGATTGCAGTACAGTTGTTTGACCAGGAGAGTTCCACAGGGGTGCTGGAGGAGCCTGCGAAAGACCCTGTGGGTCCTAATGGACTCCCCCCAAACAGAACCCCTGACCTTCAGGAGCTGAAGATGCAGGTGAGTCTTTGGGGCGACAGCTTGGCTGCCAGAGGAGGACCCAGAAGGAGATGAGGGATGGGGAGAGGGCTGCAGGAACACAGTTCCAGTGCACACCCCTGGGGGCGATCTTCTCACACAGCGCATCAGTATCCTGCAGCAGCTGCTGCGGCGGGAAGTGGAGGGGCTGCTGGGGAACAAGTGTGCCCCCCTTCAAGGAACCTGCTCACTGGATCTGGCTGAACTTCACCCCCCGCTGACTGACGTTGCTAGAACGCTGAACGTCCCACAGCATAATCATGGGACATCACACCTTCCTGGACCCATACCGCACTCTGAGCCACCAAAGGCCTGCCTTCCTGAGGAGGGGGGCCGGCCACAGCCCTGCCCTCCAGCAGAGCCAGGCATCCCAGACTCTTGCCATAGGAGGGAGTCTGAGATACCAGAACTCTCCCCCCAACAGCAACCTAGGGTCCCAGAGCCCTCCCAACCCAAACAGCATGGGGTACCAGAACTATCAGCTCAACAGCAGCCTGGGGTACCAGAGACCTTCCCCCAAGAACAGCCTGGGGTACCAGAGCCCTCCCCCTCAAAGCAGCATGGGGTATCAGATCCCTGCCCCCCAGAACAGCTTGGGGTTTCAAAGCCCTCCCTCCAACAGCAGCTGGGGGTATCAGATCCCTGCCCCCCAGAACAGCTTGGGGTTTCAAAGCCCTCCCTCCAACAGCAGCTGGGGGTACCAGAGCCCTGCCCTCCAGCAGAGCCTGAACCCCTTCAGCCCAGACTCCAAGGGAAGACTCCAGTCCCTGAACCCCACCTTAGGGTTGAGCCTGCCATGGCAGAGGCCAACCCCGTGGAACCTTGCAGTGCCCAGTCCCTTCAACAGCCCTGCAGTAAGCGGTGTGCTCCAGTGCCCCCCAGCCTGATCTCTTCCCAACGCCCACCCTGTGCCAACCCTCCTATCCACTCCATCCAGTGTTTGAGGCCCCCATCTGGCCGGCCAGGTAAGGAGTTGGTTGGGAGGGGGCGGGGACAAGAAGGTAGTCATCCCACCCTGGGAGCTGGGCCCAGTTCCCTACCCCAAATGACCCTGCTTACCTCCCCCCACCTTCTATCCTGCTTCTGTCTGCTCTCCCCGAGAAAGGGAGCCTCTATACCTCCTGCTCTGTGCTCCTAATTGGCTTGGTCCCTGGGAGATGGAGGGGGGGGTGGGGAGCAATACATTGCATATGGTGGAAGCACAGGACTCTAGAGTTCCCCCTAAACTCTGTGACCCTTGGCCCTCAGGCCCCAGTAGTCTGGCCCCTCAAACCCTGGCCCTGAGGCAGCGGCTCAGAGCATGTTTGAGTGCCATCCGCGGCTTCCACGAGGCCCGCCTGGATGATGAGTGTGCCTTCTACACCAGTCGAGCGCCTCCCTCAGGCCCCCCGAGGGCCTGCACCAACCCTGTGGCTACATTACTGGAGTGGCAGGACACCCTGGTGAGCCTGACCTGCAGCCAGGCATGGCCTGCTCTTGTGTGGGATGGGGGCCCAGGGCCAGCCCTGCCTCCTCCTCTGAGAAAGTCAATGGGAGGAGTTCCCAGGGTTCAAGGCTGCCTGGGTTGTGAGATACCTTCTCTCTCTCCAGTGTTTTATTCCAGTTGGTTCCGCTGCCTCTCCGGGCACTCCAGCATAAGCCACCGCCTCCCTCAGCCCTGCCTTGATCCTTTCCTTTAGCCCATATTTATTGTCAGGCTCCTCTCACACCCGAATAGGGCTGCAAGCCCCACATTCCTTTATCCTTCAATAAAGTTTGTCACGTGTCCAAATGTCTTGTTTTCTCAGCCCTCAGCCCTCTACTGGTGTTGTTCTCCAAGCGGCCACATGGTGGCAGTGTCCTCCAGCCTAGAAACTAGCCCTTGGCTCTCAGGACCCGGCCCACCCCAGCTCTCCTAGGAGCCGTCCTGAAGAGGGGATATGCTCCCACTCTTGCTCTGCTAACCCCCTTCGTCAGCTCAATTAATGCTAGGGGTGATTGTGGACCTTGAGGGCTGCCTTTTGTCCTGATCCTTGAGGTCAACCACAGGTAGGGCTGTGGGTTGGACATGACTGTTCAAACCCACCAGCCACTGCATGGGAGAAAGATGAGACTATCCTACTCCTTGAGAGGTGTACAGTCTCAGAAAATCACTGAGTCAGAATTGACTTGCCCTAGCAGTGGGTAGGTGAGGTCAGCCCCATCCAGGAGTCCTCAGCCCTCAGCCCTGAAAGATGCTCCCTTTGGAACTGTCTGCCCACACACACTAGGTAGGATGGCAGAGGTATCAGACCCAGACCTTTGGGGTTCTCCCTAGTGTCATTAAGTTGGTGTCTCCCTGGCCCCACAGTGGGAGGCCCCCGGAGCCTTCCTAACAGCTGACACCCCTCCTTCCACAGCCCAGTGGAAGCCCTGGGCTGCTCCCAGCTCTACCTGAGGCAGGCCTTGCCAGGGATAAGTAACCTTTGTCTCCGGCTGAGTGGGGTTCCTTGAGATGAGGGGAAGGATCAGCCACTTCTCCCCCCACCCCTAATGAGCTCCCAATCAGCAGCCACACACATCCCCAACCTCACTTTATTGGAAGAGGCAACAGAAGCTGTAGCCCCAGGGCCTAGGCCCAATGGGAGTCAAATGGAGACCTTAGAGAATGAGTTTTAAATGGCAGGAAAGAATTCACTGGTTCCTCCAGTTCATAGGAGGGCTGCCAGGGCTGGGGCCTGGGGCCTGAATGTGGAGGTGAGGGGCAGAGGGCATTGTGAGAACGTTGTCATGACAGAGGACCAGCGTGGGTCCCTCTCCTTGCTTTTGCTTGTTTTCTGCCTCCCAAGACGCCAGAGCTTCCCGTCTGCTTTCTGAGCATCTGAGCCCAGAGTAGTGAAAGTGCCCCCCAGTTTCCGGTAGAGGAGAGGACCGGCTTTTCCCTTACCCTCAAGTGGATGCTAGAAGTCCTGCCCCGGCGCTGTGCTTTCCCTAGGCAGGCCTCCTTCCGCTCCCCAACCACTCACTCCCAGAGCGCCAAAAAGTCCGCGCCAACTCGGCTGCCTCGGGAGCGGGAGGGTCCTTCCGGTCGGTGCCAGGCTCGCAAAGGGAGAGGTGGCGCTTTGGACTGGGCCGACTGCAGGTGGGTGGGGTGGGGAGGGAGCGGAGGGAC